CCAGCAGGAACTCCACGTTGCTGGGCAGGGCGTCCCTCGAGGGGCTGATGAGCTGGTACAGGTCGCAGGTGATCTTGTCCTTGGCCCGGGCTCCGGGACCTGGGCTGCCCGGGTAGGCGGCACAGCCGGGCCGGCCCCCACCGCCGCTGGTTAAGCTGCCGTCCGGCGCCCGGGGCTCGCGGCCGTTGGAGATGCGGAAGGCGATGCGCACCTCCCCGGGGCCCGGGCCGGGCCGCTCCTCCTTGCGGAGGCCCTTGGCCGGAGGGCTGTCGCGCTGGGCCTCAAAGTGGGCCACCGCCTCGGCCACGCGGCTGCAGTCCCCGCTGCCGGGCCGCCGTTCCGGCCCCAGCCCTTTGGCTGGCCCGCCCTGCTCAGCCGACACGAAGACCACGGGTGCCGGGGTCCCCGGGCGCGGGTAGTTCTGCAGGGCGAGGGCGGCTCGCTGCTCCACCAGGGCCACCATCTCGGCCACAGAGAGCAGGTCCATGTCCTCAGGGGCCGAGCCTGGGGCCCCCTCAGCAGCAGGAAGCCCCTCCCGGCCCCCTGGGTCGGGCGGGGCCTTGGTGGGCTCCAGGCAGCGCCTCCGCCGCTTGGCCTTGGAGCTGTCGCTGCCCCAGTGCCCCTTGACCTTCATGGAGCTGGCCCGGCTGCCCCCACCGCACTGGTGGGCCACAAAGAAGGCCACCTTCTCCTTCGTGTTCCCGGGCTTGATCACGTACCACGTGTCCAGCAGGACTCGGCCCTCGTCACCGGCAGCGGCCGCCGAGAGGAGCGGAGCGGGCTGGGGCGCTGGGGCCTCCGGGGCCGAGATGGGAGGCGTGTTCTCTGACAGCGCAGGCTCGTGGTCTGGCTCCACTCCGCTGCCTGGCTCTGGGCAGGCTGCTGGCTTGAGGGCTGCGGAGGGTGGGCGTGGCTGGTTCTGTGAGTAGGTGCCAAAGGGCCGGGGGCACCATAGCTGGAAGGGCAGGAGGCCGCCGCGGTCCATTGTGGGGGCTGGTGTCTGATGGGCGGCGGTTCAGTGCATCTCAGGAGCTGGACGGTGCTGGGGGACTCCACGGGCTACCTGAAGGCAAGGAAGAGGAGACTGGGGAGCTGAAGGAGGAACCTGCCCTCCCCCCAGGACCACCTCAACCTCAACCTCTCCCAAAGCAACAGACTGAGACCTCCAGGAATTTATTCCCACCCAGGTGAGCTAAGGAGAGGGCTGCAGAGGCAGTGGGACCTATTCTTCTCAACATGCACAACACGACCCTAGCGAGCAGCTTGTTCCAACCCCACACGTCCCACTTCACTGCCCAACTCCTTCACTCATTAAGTATAGTCTTCCAGCCACTGGAAGCTTTCAACTCAAGCTGAAGTACAACTGACACACCTCTTTGGGCTATGCTCTCACCCTGTTGCCAGTTCCTGAAAAGACAGGAATTCCTAGCCCTGCCCACAGCTCTGGGAGCTTGGGCCCATGGAGGGAGGAACTGAGTGGGCTGGGCTACTCGGAGAAAGAAAGTCTGAGGAGGTCAGAGCCAGGCAGGCCCCTGAGAAATGGACTTCCCTTTTTTCGGGGTGTGGGGCTCTAAAAATCTCTCTGAGCTATGTATCCTATGTATCCAGACAAATGTCCCCACAGGTGCAATGGATTGTGCAGGTAATTAATTCACTGAAGCATGGCTACAGAGGAGCTCTGGTGGTGCAGTGCCTAAGGCACTTGACTGCTAACCAGAAGGCTGGCGGTTCAAACCCACCAGCCACTCCTTGGAAGGAAGATGGGGCAATCTACTTCCGTAGTGATACTGTCTCGGAAACCCAAAGAGGGGTCACTATGAATCGGGTCCGACTCGATGGCACATAACAACAACATGGCCACAGACCCCTGGGATAAGAAGGTCTGTTCTTATATAGCCCCTCAAGTGGCACACAGATAAACCAAGGCTCACAGTAGGAAAAGGTTACAGAGCTAAGATGGGTCAGGACCAACCAGTGAAGAGTTCTCTTAATAATTTCTTATTTTGTTTTCCTAGGACTTTATGTTGTTGTTGTTGTTGTTATGTGCCGTCGAGTCGGCCCCGACTCATAGCGACCCCTCCTTGGGTTTGAACCACCAGCCTTCTGGTTAGCAGGCAAGTGTCTTAGCCACTATGCTACCAGGACTTTATGGGCATAAGCTAATTTGGAGGAGTTTTGGTCATGAGTTGGGCTGGACCAATAAGGGACATATCCCTCAGGGGCAATCCATCCCTGGCCCATCTCTCTCCAGATACCTGAAAAACAAAATATCCTCAAACCAACCCTCCACATGCCTGTAGGCCAGGGGACGGCAAACTATGGCCAAATCCAGCCCGTTGCCTATCTTTGTCGATAATTGAAACACATCCAACCCTTTATGGTTGCTTTTGTGCTGTAA